TAATTTTATTTCCAAAAATAAAGATTATCTTTATCTTTGTTTTATAAGTATAAAGATTTACTTTATCTTTATTTTATAAGTATAAAGATTTACTTTATCTTTATTTTTAAAGTAAGAATAATCTTTATTCTTTATAAAATAAAGATAAAGATTGTCTTTACTTTATTCTTTATTATAACGAAACATAAAAATATGATAACACCACTAGTATCGATTATCCATGATGATCACGTTGATTCATCCAAAAAAGCTTTTTATTTATATACCATTATTTTATACGTCTCATTGATTTTTTGGATCCACTAGGCACCGCTTTTTCCCCCTTGATGTAAGCAATAATTATTATATTTCTTTGTTCGAATATCATAAACTCTGCGGCAGCTACTCTTTCAGTAGAAGGTCAGCGACGTTTGTGTCGCGTTACCTTGTTACATTCTCTTGCATCAATGCCAACAGGAACTTTTCTTTTCGATTTTGTCAGGCATTACAACGAAATAGAATGATGACAATATACGGCTTTTAAGTCCTGCATAAGCTATCAAATTACCCTATAGACATTTGTACAGCTACTTTTTGCATCCGTCTATCAATCAACATACGATTGAAAATCTTGCTTCTTTTTTTTTCAAAAGGCGAAGATTCTGTCGGTCAACTACCAATCTTTATTTGATATGAGAAGCGTTCGATGTTGATAAGCTTCGAGTGATATTTTCAGTGGTCGATTATTATTTTGCATAGAATTATAATGTAAAAAAAACAAGTCACAAACATTTGATAAAGTCCCCAGCAGTCATGGTATTTGTGTACCCACGCTTGGCTCTATTGTTTCTCATTTATAGATAGAGATACAAAGGGATTTATTCGAATGCTTTGCATGACATTATACTATACATTGAGCCTATTTAATGGGTAACATTAATATTTCTTTGTATAAGGGGTATTGTGTTGGCAATGGTTTTTTCTTTTAATTTTCTTTTTATGTTTCTGATATTAAAAAGAGAACCCTAGTCTAAGCTTTCATCAATCAATATTTTGACTGTATTTCTTTAAAGAGAAACCTGTATTCTTTATTTTCATTTATTTTAAAAAACACAAGAATAATACTTTTACCTAGGTTAGCATTAAAGTTGATCACGCCAAAAGTGAAAATAATCTGGCGATGAAAAATAAACACCAATCGTGTTTTTAAATTCTTCTACTTTAATTTTCAATTGTTGTTCCACTTAATTTAATAAGATTATAGCAAAGAACTCAATATTATATAACAAGTCAGTATTGATTTTTTCTTCATCCCCAGGTTGTTTTCATTACGTTAAGTATTTAAAATATATCAAAATGCTGGTTATTTGATTTTTTTGAACACCTTTCTAATATTTTTATGGAAAAAGCGCTTTCGCATGGATTATGCAAAATGATTGGAATTTATTATGAATCATAGCGTATACATTGTCTCCCTTTGCATATTGCCAGAATACTAAGAAGATTAAAATGCGACCACTATTCAACAGACAAACATTCCCTTTCAGATGATCTATTTCAAGTCGAAAATTTTCATTATTGGACTTTTGTGCTATATTTTACAACTTAAATCTAATGGTTTGATAGCGACAAATGTTGGACTTCAAACACAGAAAGGAATAATATATGGACGGCAAACTCAATCTTCGATTGAATATTTAGGGTAAGATGGTAAAAAGACAGTATGAAGCAGGGAGACATCTATACTTTAGTCGGGTAATCAAATGTTAATCCAGTGAATTTAGAACCTAATAGAAATCCTGAAATAAATATGCATGTTTTTCACCCTCACTCTCACCCTATAATTCTGAAAAGTAATCAACATCTTTGAATATTTCATCATATAGAATTCAATATGCAAAAGTCAGCAGATGGAAACCTCCAATTGATCTTGCGTCGGATACTTTTTCTAATGGCACATTTAATGCAACTTCATTTGGTCCATGTTGTCCTCAACCAACTGTAAAAATATATATAGACAGACAAGATGAACAATGTTTGTATCTAAATATTTTTACTCCAATCAATGTATCAAATCAATCATTGTTACCAGTTCTTGTCTGGATTCATGGTGGTGCTCTCCATACTGGTTGTTCATCACAAGGTATTCCAACTATATATAATGGAACAAATATTATCGCTAATTCTCTTCAACCGGCTATTATCGTAACAATTAATTATCGACTAAATGTTCTAGCTGATTTTTATTTACTAGCTTTAGTTGAAGAAAATTCACCCGACTGGCCAACAGCTGGTAATTATTATTATCTAGATATGTTATCAGCATTACGCTGGGTAAATAAAAATATTCGCGATTATGGTGGCAATCCAAAAAATGTTTTATTATTTGGAGAAAGTTCTGGAGCTAATGCTGTTGTTGACATTGGTGCATTAACAGGATCAGCCAATCTTTATCAACATATTATATCGGAATCAGGTGGAGCTGGTCATTATATATATTATTCAAATATAAGTGATGCCCTCCAATTATCAAATAAGATTGTGCAAAAGATGAATTGTACACGTGAAAATAATGCACTAATTCTTGCGTGTTTACGTAATTCTTCAATTGAAGATTTGCATGCGGCCTACGGTCTTCGTCTAGGAAAACCAATTATTGATGGATATTTTTTCCCTTATCATCCTCTTTTAGCAATAAAAAATGGTTTGTACAATCCAAACATTACAATGATTATAGGGAACAATGAACAAGAACCTTTAACGTGTCTTGAAAATCCAGATATGAATTCAACTGGGGCCATTTCAGTGCTAAGTCAAACAATACCGCCACAGTGGTTACCATCGGCCGTCAATAATTATCAGCTAAATAGTTGTTCTTCGAATAGAAATGCTAGGAATCGTTGCTGTGATCTTGTTCGCTTATTAATAATAGATAAATTTTTTGATTGTAATGTTCAACGAATATACAATAATTTATACATGAAATATCAACAATCGCACAAGCTATATTGGTATCATCTAGATTGTAATCCTGGGATATGTCCTGAAATATCAGTAGAAGAAGGTGCTGGTCAATGTGCTCATGTAGATGAAATTCCATTCGTTTTTGGAACTGTCAGTTCCTATAATTCAATGAATTCTCACAATTGTACATGGGATAGTCAAACACGAAGTTTTTCAAATCAGATCATTTCACATTGGATCAGTATGGCTCGAAATGGAGAACCGTTACAATCATGGCCACAGTATTCTCCAACGGCAAAAAAATATTTTAAAATTACACCCTATCATGACTTTTCACCTGAACCATGGTATCGAGACTGTGCTTTATTTGATCAACTTGAAGATGAACAAATACGTATTATGTTTCCCATAACTAGTAGTGCACTATGTCATAGTATAAGCAATTTTCTCATATTTTCAGTTACTCTATTTTACATGGAAAGGATGATCGTCAATTAAAATAATAAAACATTTTCTCATTTCAATCTTCACCATGTTGTATCAAGGAAATTTGCAAAAATGAATACAGAAGCCTTTTAACTCTGGTTGGTGTGTGAATGAGATTTCTGAAGATTGGTAAGAATTGATTGCTGGAGAAAATTTAGGTAATTGTCGCATGTATCTGTTAAGTTAAATGAGATTTGACGACTAGGTAAAAAGTCACAATACATTCAATTATGTTTGAAAATGAG